CTGCCATGGTATCAGTGTGCTGTGGTCCAAGGACCTTTATTCTACTTTGTAATGACCCCAAAGCACAAGAAGAGTGATACTGGGAACTCAGATATGCCGAAGAGAAGACAGGAGTACTGCCTTTAAGTGAAAAGGTAAAGTTCTTAATAAGGAATGAGCAGAATCATATGTGGAGATTGTTCAGACTACATTAAAAATGATTCTTCTTTTTCTTTGGTGCTGGGGATTGAGCCCAGGGTCTTGTGCACGCTAAGCAAACCCTCTACCACTGAGCTACACCCCCAGCTCCAGAATGAATCTTCTACCTGTGAAATGATAAATAAGGAAAAAGAAATTAGTGCTACTGTTGCTATTTTACTGCAAACTACAAGTTCTGACAACAATGTACAGTAAGTACTAGTTAAGATGGAAAGAGCATTATTTATATGTTGGGGTGGGGGAGAAAACACACATAGGATTCAGTATGATCCATGGATTTAGGAATCCACCAGGGGTCTTGGAACATATCCCTCACAGGTAAGGGGGGATGACTGTATATCTAGGTCAATAAAATATTTTTTTTTTGGAGGGCAGTACTGGGCATTAAACCTAGGGCTCGCTAGGTATGGTTGCACACACCCCTAATCCAGTGAGTAGGAAGGCTGTGGCAGGAGGATCTCAAATTTGAGGCCAGCTCCCCAGCAACTTGGCGAGACCCTATCTCAAAAAAAAAAAAAAAAGACTGGGGATGTAGCTCACTGTGGTAAAGCACCCCTGGGTTCAATTACCACAGAACCAGCCTCATACATGGTAAACACCTGCTCTGTCAATGAGCCATGTTCCCATCCCCCAACCCAATAAAAGATTTAATCACAGCTAATTTTATTTTCCCTACAGATTTGAATACATTTTCTTCAAGTTCAAAAAATCTAGAAAAAGATTTTGCTAACATATTTGGTAAGTGACCACCTCATGTGTCACCTTTGGGCTGGTTCAGAGCTGCATCTTGTCTGTGGTGTCTCCTGGGTCACTTGCTCCTGCTGTTTTGGGGGGAAGACAGGTGCTTTGTCTTGTGGCTAGAATCAGTTCCTCCAAGTGTCAGAGTCCTGAGAAATTAAGCAAAACAGGGAGATAAACATTTGGAAAGGACTCAGCTCCTTATAAGAGGGCGAGACAGCGGAGGCATCTCTCAACACGGGACAGGAACTCTGGGTTTGCTCTTCCTCACCGTGTGCTATAGAGAGGCCCCAGGAACCTGCATTGAATCCATCCCTGGCTGCGGGGGAGCAGGACTGAAGGCAGGGGACTCACAGCTGGCTCTTGCACACCAGCTTGCTGTGCTCCAGGCTTGCTGTCTAGGAACCAGAAGACTGTCCTCTCCCTGTGGGTACCTGGGGTCCTGCATCCAGTCCCTCCTGTGCAGGAGGGAGCATGTGCCTCTGCAGGAGAGAGTTGGCCTCAGGGCTTGGGAGGTTGCTGTCACCCGCCAAGGACCTGCTGACCTGGCCATCACTGTGCCAGTATTGGCCTTGGCAATGCCGGGCATCACTGCCTTGCCAGCTTCTTTCTCAGCAAGCTTTTCAGGGACTTGTAGGTCAGCACATTGAGCTAAGAGAGGGTGGTGGGAGGACTCCCCATTTTCCTGGTGAGTCTGGGGTTCATTTTCTGGTGGGTCCCTTGTAAGTGCCTATTCTACCAAGCAAGGGGACCACCACTGAAGTGCAAGCTGCCCCTGGAAATGGACTCAAAATGTATACATAGTGAATGAAATTTCTGCCTGGCGCGGTGGCGCAAGCCTGTAATCCCAGCAATTTGGGAGATGGAGGCAGGAGGATTGCAAGTTCAAGGATAGCCTCAGCAACTTAGAAAGAACCTGTTTCAAGAAATAAAAAGGATTGGAGATGTAGCTCAGTGGTATAATTCCTAGTATCCAAAAAACCAAAAACCAAGGTGAACGGGATCTGTGATGGTTGCTTCCTGTGCATTAGCAAAGAAAGTCCAGAAGGGTAAGTAAATCATCATCTCCTAGGTCAAAGCTTTAACAGGGGGCCTTACTATTCAGTCATGGCGGCATAAAGATATTCTGGTCAGTGACGGCCTGTGTATTTGAAGGTGGTAGCCCACGTGTGTAAAAGATATGCCATCTTGGTTTGTGAAGGACCCTCTGTGATGTTTGGGTCCAATGAAGAAATTGCCTAATGATGTGTTTCTCACATTGTTAAGTGACAACATGAATATATCTCAGTAAATGTAATTGAAAAAGCACTTACAGTTTTATAAGCAGAGCACTTTCCGAACTTATAGAATCTGCTGAAACTCTCTGATGACTTTCTGTTTGGGTTGTCAGGTCCTTTGCAGTCCTGATATTATGGAATCGTCACGGTCAGGTCCCTTCTTGTTCCAGGTCCTTCTCTGTGGATGTGAGCTGGGTGTCATCTGCAGCCCTCAATGACTTCTCCAAGGCCATAGTTGTAGCTTGATGAATTCCTGTTCTTAGAAGGCTATTTCCAGGTGTCCTTTGTGTCGTACACCAGCCCACCAGGGCAGCTGTGGGACCATGAGCGTCAGATTTCTGGTGAAGGGAGTTGACAGGGGGTCTAACATCTGTGGACAAGAAGGACCTTGAGGCCTCAGTAGGTTTAATGGCCAAGAAGATCCAGATCTCAGATGTCACGGTTTAGATATGAGGGGTCCCCCCAAAACTTGTGTGAGACAATGCAAGAATGTTCAGAGGTGCAATGATTAGATTATAAGAGGTGTGACCTAATCAGTGGATTAATCCACTGATGTGGATTAAACTGGATGGTGCCGGGGGGTGTACTCTTGGGGTTTATTTTGTCTGGTGAGCAGAGAGAGCTCTCTCTGCATTCCGTGGCTATGGCCTGAGCTGCCTTCTTCTGCCATGTTTTCTGCTATGATATGCTGCCACGACTCAGGCCCAGAGCTATGGAGTCAGCCGACCGTGGACCGAACCTCTGGAACTGAGAGCTGAAATAAACGTTTCCTCCTTCGAGTTGTTCTCATGAGGTCTTTTGGTCACAGCAGTGAGAAAGCTGAATACAACATCAGCCCTCCCTGGCAGCTTCATTTCCTCCTGCTCTGCTCTGCTCAGCTGAGGGCTTGTCTCTGGGACACTGTGGGCCTGGCTGGTTTTCTTCCTCTTCTCTTTGTCCCCAGCTAGTTCCACTGCTGTATGTGGCCATGTGGGTGTGTCTGGTCAGGCGAGTGTCTACTGTCTCTCATGTCTGGATGACTCAGACCAGGTGCCAGTTCCCCTCTGCCTCCGAACCCCCAACACCTCATACAGCTTCTGTGCTGAGTTGGGGCTTTGTAAAAGTGTGATGTATCAACAGTACACAGTCTTCTACCCTCTCCCGATCTCCTTGGGCATTATGATCTTCAGGCACCTGAGCCTGGTTCCTCTGTGAAGTGGCCAGGATTGTCTCAGGATTGTCCACAAGTCGCCGTAGTGCCATGCCATGTGAGAATGTGATTTGATTGCAGTTTCTGGAAAATCTGACGTCGAGTGGCTTAAACAAAGAGTGATCTGTCTTCTGTCACAAACAAGACGAGGAAGGCAACTATGACTTTCGTGCAGTAGCGCAGATTAGGGACAGTTTTTCTGAGATCATCATGGCCTTTCCTGGTGCTTGTGTCTCTTGGTCACAGGACAATTTCTGCAGCTCCAGACATTACGGCTGCTTTTAAGGCAAGAGGGAAAAGGGTTGGGGGACATGCAGCCCCAGCATTTCCTTCTCTTCTATCCTCCTGGGTCCCAGGAGTCTTCTGAGGACCTTGAGTATCCCGGGACCCTGGCCTGGCTGCCAGGGAAGGTGGAAAAGGAAGAGGCTCCCTCTGAGGGCCTGGCTCTCCAAGCTCCAACAACAGTTAAGTGTGGAAGAAGGCGAGAGTCGCCTCGGGGTGGAAGTGCACAGAGAGAGCCTACAGCAGATTCCTCATTTTTCTGTAAGATGTTAGTGACATCTTTGCTTCCTTTGAATTATACATCTTTTTCCTCACCTCCCTTGTCTACATATTCCACTTATGCAAGGTTCCAATAAGCAGAAAATTAGCAACGTTCACTCTCTGATCTGGGGTTGATTGTCATAAAAGATGATGATGAGCTGTTCTGCCTTCCACGAGTCCTCTCTCTGGCCCTACGCTAAATGCTTTAGGGACATTGCTATAGTCAATGTTTCCAAAGTCTTAGGAGTTCAGTGGTAGTATCCCCATCCTATGCAGCAGGAAACCAAAGATCCAAAAGGGGAAGTTACTTCTTGAGGTCATGTCTGGGCAGGTAGCCCAGAGGGATTTGGGCCTAGGTGTGCCTGTCCCAAAGTCAGGATTCTGATTGTGAAAATCTTCCCAGGAGAGCAAATCGGGTCTTAAAGGAGGAAATATTGTGACTCTTGAAGAAAAAAAGAAGGTTTTCTTGTGCATGGTGACAGATTGGGGATGGCTGCCGGGAAGGGGCAAGACAGAAGGGATGGCACCAAGTATCAAGAGACAGGGATGGACACGGTGGCGCACACCTGCAACCCCATAGCTCAGGAGACTGAGGCAGGAGGATAGAGGGTCCAAGCCAGCCTCAGCCACTTAGCGAGGCCCTTAAGCAACTCAGTGAGACCCTGTGTCAAAATAAAATATAAAAAGGGCTGGGGGTGTAGCCGAGTGTCAAGCTCTTCTGAGTTAAAACCCTAGTGTGTATATATATATATATAAAAATTGAAGAATGTGTATATATATATATATATAAAGATTTGGGGCAGAGTTACAATCATGTGTCCTTAGTGGGCAATGTCAACTGCCCATATCTAGATAGTCACAATTCTCCAGAAATGACTGAGGTGGTTGGAGTTGCCTTCCCCAAACAAGATGTGTGAGCGCACAGTGTCCCGTGTCCATAGAGTCTGTGTGGTGTCTTCTCCCCTCTGTGGAGGCTTTAGTCAGGCACATTTTGCTCTGGCTGAGCCTCGTGGTGTGCAAGGATGAGCTAACTTACCTTTGCTCTTTCCCTTGAGATGAGATTCTACTGCAGGTGCTTTCCAAAGACCCATACTACACCAATTTTGTTGAAGGAGGGACCGCAATCACGAGGAGCCACTTGAATGAAAGCAAGTATATGTCATGGGCCCTGTGAGTGCCCTGTTCCATAGGCCTGTG